CTAAGTTTTGACTTAGGAGATCCTAAGTGGGTCCAACTAATCTAAGAGAAAAAACTAGATGTTTATAGATACCTCAAGTTGAACACACAAACCATCAAATATTTGATGACTTACTATTATATTGTCTTTGTCATACCTTTACACAAGCTATCTCATGTAAGGTAGATACTACTGATACACAGGAAGAAAACGAGGCAGTTAAGATACATGCCCTAATATATAGTGATAAGTGATGGACATCCCACAGACACAGTTCACTGTATTTACTCTTAGCCCCAGATTACAGATAAGAAACTGAAGAGGTTCAAAGAGATGAAGCCGATCAGTCACTCATCTATGAAGCAGGAAGCAATTCAGTTTCTCCAAACTCAGGTTCATTACATTCCGCTCATCTCTACTGAGCTTGTATGTATAAAAAAAACTGATATCATATTCCAGGTAAAATGCTTTTTAATACTGACAATAATGCTTATGAAGCTAGAATCTAAGATAAGTTAAAAGCTAAAACATACTCTCAATATCACATATTGAAAAATGAGCTATTTTAAATATAAGTATCTATTAATTTGATTGTTTAGTGAAACAAAATACAGCAATTTCTACTAAGCAGTAACTGTGTCTAAAAACAGCATAATTTATATTCTATCAAAAAATCCTGGGCTGGGGATTTAGCTCAGCGGTGTCACACCTGCTTCCAAAGTGCAAGTCCCTGAGTTCAACCCCCAGTACCCCCCCAAAAAAATCCCACGTGACCTTTCCTGAAGGCTCATTAAAAATTGTTTTTAAATCTCAGTATTTTACCAAAACTTAGCAACTGTAACTCAACTAAAGAACTAGTGGTCGGTACATACTTGATCTGTAAACAACGACAAAACTGTTCAAAACAGGAACAGGATGTATCTCTAAACCCATGTTATCTAGAGAAAGGTGTGAGTAGAAAATGTCAATCATCCTATTAGTATAGTACCTCTTTCCTCAGAAATGTGGAGGCTACAATCCAATGGTGCGGGGGGAGGCATCCTGGGATGCACAAGTGGCAGCTGGCCAGAATGGAGGGGGTCCACGTGAAGGGAGGATGTGATAAAGACAATGGGGGGAAGGTGCTGTAAAGCTCTTCACTGCTAATAAACCACGGACAAAAGAAATACAACCAAACAATCCCAATACAGCAAACTCACACTAAGGTGATGTCTGAATGACAGCTAAAATTAAATTAGAGATCAACCTGAGCTTTACCTTAGGAGCTTAGAGATTTTGTTTAAAAAACTGAAACCACCCGCCCCCCTCTGCTACTGCACAGTCGCCCCCCCATCACTCCCAGGCGCACGGCCTCCCGCACGCAGCACCTACCTACGTACCTCCCTACCTGCCGCTGCTCCAGCTATGCTGCGCAAAAGGCGAGTCCGCAAAGGGTGAGTCCGGCAGTCCAGCCAGGCTCTGCACCCTCCGTCCTTCTTTCCTCTGGTCTCCCAGGGCCTCCTTCCCTGCCTCACCTCCCCTCTTCCCCGCAGGGACCCCTCTCCTCCCCTCTGCCTCTTCTCCCCTGCATCTCCCTCCCTCAGATTCCCCTCAGCCCAGACTTTTGCTGGCCTGGGGCCCTGTCTTGGCAGGGGTCCGGGGGTCAGGTTGCGGGTCGGGGCTCAGTGCCCAGCGCAGCCATGCCTCCCCTGTGCCAGAGCTCAGAGCTTGGGACGCCTGGCTCCTACCTGCTCAGATCACGGGGCTGGGGGCTGGCCCGGCTCTCCCAGAGGCTGGTGGAGTGGCAGAGAGAGAGAGAAAGATGATAATCCTACCTGCCAGGCCTACTCACTCAGCTTCGGATTTTTTTCAGAGGACATTCTGCAAACTTTTCCTGAATTTTCCTCTTAAGCTGTAACCACACTTTGTAGCAGCCCTCCCCTCCTTCCTACAACACTAAGGAGGTGAGGTGAGGCCAGGGTGCCCCAGTACCCCTGCAAAAGTCTTGTCTGCAGACTCCCAAGAGGTAGTCAGGAGAGCCGGCCTTGCAGAGGAAGCCACGGGCTCCTCTCCTCCGGCGTCAGCTGCGGGCCTGCCCCCTGCTCCTGCCTGGTTTGGGGTCCTGGGCCTACCCTACTTTTGCTTCATCTCTAACCTTCCCTCCCCCTCCCCCCTGAGTAAAAGCAAGGACACACGCATTCTCCCAAATGCCAGCCAGCTGGCCTCTGAGAAAGTGTTGCTGTTTTTTCCTGCTGACCTTTGTCTGGGCTGAAGGTCCCCCTTGCCTACTGTCCCGCCCTACTTGTCCCATTTCCAAACGCTTGAGCTAGGTGAGGCGTCAGGGGCTGGGGCAGGTGACTGACTAACCAGCTCACAATGTTCCCTGTAGGGGAGGAAGAGGGCACCAGGGCCCAATGCCCAGCTTCTCCCTGAAGTTCACAAGGTTCTTCATTCTTCCCAGTGACCAGGGAGAGTGCACATGGGTGGGAGATATGTAAATTCACTCATCAGCAAGAGGCACCCAACCAGTTTCAATACCAACGACATGACTCATCGCGATTGTACAGATTCGAGGCCATGGACAGATCAACCCAGCATCTCATCCAGTCCCACTTGTGAAATGCTTCCCCAATTAAGACATTTGGAATCCTCCTTCCTTTGGGGTTTTGGGTTGTTGGTTTTCCCAGTGGTGAAGCAGGGGTGGTTTTGGCTGTGTAGTGCTCTCCCTCCTTCTTCCCCTTTGGCCTGGATGAGACAGAGGGGACCCACAAGCTTCCTTCCTCCCCCTTCCTCCTTCTGAAAGGCTGCCAGGAACAGTGAGCTAGTACGGAGGACACAGCTGTCATACTGGGCTTATGGACAGCCGCACTTCGTCATTTTTCTAGAGCGACAGTCACTTTGGTTCTCAAGCCTTGGATACCATAGAAGATTCCACCAATTAAATTATTTGGTATAAAAAAAAACAAATCTCCATAATTTGTCATTTATCAAATCTCAATGTTTTCATCATACAAGGATAAGTTTTGAAAAAGGCAGGTTACAAAATATTACAGAAAGTTTTAAAACCTTATCAAAAAAGTATGCTATATTAATCCAATACCAAATTCTTTATATATACCTGTGGTATTGAACCTATGGCACATGTGTTGCAGCCAGCTGTCACCAAGGAAAGCTCTAAAAAAAGTTAGCCATCACTGTAAACGAAGTATTTCTTTGGAGGTGGGGGTTTTGTGGATCAAACCCAGAAAGAACACACACCCACCTCCACCTCACTCCCATATTGGGGGATCCAACTCAGGACCTACCTTGTGCTTGCCAGGCACAGCAGAGGTACAATCCAGGTCCAAACCCTGGGTTTTATAAACACTAGGCAAGCATTCTTCCACTGAACTATACATTCCCAGCTCAGGCAACCTATTTCTTAAATGCAAGTGTCTACATTAAAAGCTTTAGAAACAAAATTAAGTTTGCTACAAAAAGTATGAAATTGTTAATACTGAATGACCAACGGCATCAAGACTGAAATTTTCTTTCACGATGATAGAATACACTAAAACATTCCCCCACTTCAGAATACAAAAGAAGAGCAAAAAGCAAAACCTAAGGGAAAGATAAGAGTCCCAGATCAGTAAGTGTGCCAAGATCCTTAACATAATCTCAAACATTACCACTATGCAGACTGTGTGGCAGAAAAAAAGAAACTGCTAAGAAGTCATGATCTGCCAAACCAGGTGCAAAACTGCTGCTAAGTAGGACAAACCATAAATTAAAAAGGTTAATTCAATTCCTGTCTTTTGCAAACATTCAATGTCAGAACATATAAAGAAAAAAAAAAAAAAAAAAAAAACAAAAAAAAA